ATTTATTTTACATTTTCAATGAATACCTGGTATGTTTTGTAATATCCCCAGCAGATTTTTATATCCAGTAACAATTCAATTGTTTACGAGCCGGTATTACTGATGATACCCTTCGATGTCCTACATATTATTTTGATATTTTTATTTTTCTCGAACTGAAAATTGTTTCCATGTAGTACTTGCGCTTGATTATTTGTCTTAAGCTTAAAAATAGCAACAGTTGATATTTATATATCCGTATATATATACCAGCAATACGTTCGTCGCATATTGAACAATGCCGAACTGACGTTCACAATATGTTGTGACGCGACTGTGACGTCACTGTCAACACGCGTCATCGTAGTGTTGACAATACATTCACTGAAGCCAACTTGAATCGTCTGCAGCTAGAATCTATACCGCGTTATTTTAAATATTTTGATTTACTTTATTCTTATTCCTACAGTTCAGTGTACATTTTTTTTTTATTTGTAACTACATTGTAGGCAGGAACACATAATGGCTATATTTGACGTAGTCCAGACGTATTTCATGCCATTATGCTACTTTTGAAAATTTCTTCTGAAGTCATTTTAACACAATTATCAAATACAAAAAAGTGTCTTTCTCAATTTTTCAACAAACACCAACAGATTTGTTTTCTTCTGAATTTTCATCTCAGAAAATCGTCCTATTTCTCCGTTACCTGATTGTTAAGAACATGCCTGTTAAGGCGCATTTTGTTGTGCCGTTTTTTTCTTCACCTTACCAAACTATCTTAGAGGAAATATGCAGTAAATCTCCTACAGTACATTTATAATTGTGCAAATATACTTTTGTTTAAATAATCACTATTGGTATCTGAATAATTGAATGAACCAGTGGAAATGACATCTGGATGAAATGATGTTATATCGCCAATATTTGATTTGCAAGTATTTCCGGTTTTGAAAACAACGAACCAGGGAAGATCCAATGCGGGAGGGTTCAATATGGGGTAAGGGCAATTTGCGGGAGATCGGGCCCAGCTTGGCCCCGGGATAACTCCGGAAGCTCAAATTTCGTTACCACAGTCATTATAATGCATCTTCCAACCCTACTTGACTCTTTACCGTATTTACGCACGTGATCAGACACGACGCCATGCTTCCCACTTCATAATTCCTTCAGCCTTCCTCGTTTACGGACGTGTTTTGGTTCTTACTACGGTGTTCAAAGTGCTACTGGCGTTGTTTGTACCGATATATTATTGTATCCTTTATACTATTACTTATTTGTGTTTTAATTTATCGTTTTGCTTTATTTTGCGCCGTTTTGCGACCAGGCTCCGGCCACGTGTTCGCGTTTGTTTACGTTGAGATGGAGACTCCTCCTTTTCAAAGGCGCTGTCCTGTGGGTCTTCGAGGCTTCCAACCCCCACCCTTACTGTCCTAGCTGTCGGCCTTGTTCTCTGGAGCAGCCTTGTGTGGCCCTATGTTCCCTCCCCCGCCCCCCAACTGGTCCTGCCTCTNCCCGCCTTCTTGCCAGCGGCGATGGGCCCCCCTCCATCCGCCACCAAGCCGTTTTCGTAAGCGTTCACGCTCCCGGCCAGGTTCTGCTACCGGTTCTGTCATGCAGAGACCGCGTGATGCTAGGGCTACTGGTCGTGCTGCGTTGTTTCGAGCTCCTATTTTGGAGTACCAGTAACGTCCGGTGTCCTGCGTCGACTCCTACCTTGCAGCAGGTTCCAGGTAATCTCTATCCCGCTCCTGCTGTCTCTCATGGACTATCGCTTGCTCCGATAGTTCCTTCGGGTAGGTCACGGTCTCTCCCCCCCTCCTCGCACCCCTCCTCGGAGGGTTACGTTGATTGAGGTAGATTCGGCGGGTGCCTCTAGTGATGAGAGGGACGTTCTTCGGGGCTCTCCCGGTTTCTCCAATTTTACGGAGACTCGGGATGAGGATAAAGTTGGCGAGTTTTCTGACTCTGATTTGGAGTCAATTGAATCGTCTGGGTTGGACTCGGAAGGCCCTTCCGATGTTTCCCAATCCCGGCCCCGAGATGCTGATCCGGTGCCTCCAGAGGTTTCTGCTTTGTTTCGCACTCTACGTGCGGAAGTTATGAAGCTCCTGGGGGACGGGGTTTGCCCACTCCCTTCCTCGGACTCGGCCGTCCCAAAGCGCACTTCGCTCTTTCAGAGCATGTTGCCTCCCCTAGCATCTGCCTCCTCGGCCTCTGCTATGTCTCTTGCGGAGGGACGAGGCGTTGATAAGTCCCTCGTTCAGGTCAACGCATTATTAAAGCAGAAGGTGAGCAAGGCTCGCAAGCCTTTTTCCCTCTCTGCTTTACAGGTCGTGGTTGCTGATATTAGCTGTAGATACGTACCGCAATCACGACCCAGTCTTGGCCCCTAATTCCGTTTCCCTTGAGAGGGATCTGGATAAGTGGCCGGGACGGTGTGTTGACCAGGATGTAATGGGGCATAGGGAGCACTCTTAGTTGGAGCGTCTCCTTAGGCTAGCTCTCCATGTTCTGTCCTACGCAGACTGATTTACTTCTGCGTTGGCCTTACTGTCGACTGCCATGTCACACTTTGTTGTTGCCTGCCGGTTGTCAGTCCTTTCTGAACTGCCAGTCGACGATCCCTATCGGGCTACCCTTTTGGAGGCTCCCTTGACTGGCGAGGATTTGTTTGGCGGGGTCCTATCCTCAGTGCAACCTGAGATGAGGTTGGACCCGTTTGCGTCTGAGGATGCATGCCACAGTTCTGCAGGCAAGGCGCTGGCAGGAAGAGGCAGGCTTCTGGCCCCTCCAGGCGTAGGAGGAAGAATGCAAAGACTGCTGCTTTGCAGCAGGAGGCTGCCCCTCCGACTTCCGCTCCGTCGGAACGTCGGAAATCTTCCTTCCACCGTAGGGGTTCCCATAGGGGTCGAGGCAAAGCCAAATTTTCTAGAGGTATGAAGAGTTCCTGACTCTTCCTTGCCCTTGGTAACTCCTTGTCCACTGTCTGTCGCCGCTCCCACGCCCATGGGCGCGGGAGGCTCCGCCGATGTGGTTTGGGAAGAGCTAGATTGACCCCTTCCGGACCTACCTTTCGGTTCTTCTTACGCTGATGTCATGACAGCTGCTGTTTGGAGGGGTCTTTCTACGTTTACGGAGTTCTATCTCCGATCTTTGTCAGGACAGTCTGACGGGTTGTATTCTTTGGGCCCTCTTGTGACTGCCCAATCCGTTGTCTGTCCTCCCTTTTTTGCATGAGCCTTTGTATGTCTTCTCCGCGTGATCCGGAAGGCTGGTCGTAATCAGGCTCTGTGTCACAAAAGATAAGATATTTTGAATGTTTCCTTTGGGGGTATGGGTCATTAGGTGAGTTCCATCCCATCCTCCCCTTGTCTCCTTGGCTCTCAGGTTTTTGGGCTTTGGAATTATGAAGTGGGAAGAATGGCTTAGTGTCTGATCACGTGCGTAAATACTGCCGTGTGATTGGTGGGGTTTTCCAGTGGTTCCCTAGCGGAAAAAAAGTCTTTATTTACGTATGTAAATAGCCAAGTATGGTTGAAATATGCATTAAAATGACTGTGGTAAGTATTTATAATAAAAATTGGTTTCACAAGAGAAACCTCAAATTAATACATATAACTTTCATGATCTTAGCAGTGCAGTTCACTGGGCAGGACATTCACACAGGTGGGGAAAAAATAACTTAAGACCAGATTTTTTACACAAACAATAGGATACATGTCTATGCTAATGTTGTTATTTTTACAACCTGATCTCATATTAAATTTAATTAAAAACATAATGATTATAAATTTTCCTATTTGACTGTGTAAAGGAAACTGTTTCATTTGTTATAATACGCATCGTGTAGCCTACAGCAGAATCTCAAAACAAATGTGCCTGACACATGTAGTTAAGTCTTCTTCCACACGGAAGTGATTATTTTATTATAAATCATATGAATTCCAATATGTATATATCCTTTCTAATGTCCAATAATAGTGTGTACGTCCGTGAATGGTTTTCACTATTTGTAAGTTACGTCAAAAATAAATATCAATAGGCCATACACTTATACTATAAGTGAAAAAGTAAATTGTTATATTTTTTGTAAATAATAGATAAGGAAAAAGTACATCTTATATTTCCAATTCATCAAAAGAACGTATTTTTCAGCTAGATGTTAATTGTCAGATTGTACTCGTATATGTTATATGTGTATCGATAGCGTTATGTATACGTAAAGTAAGAGTATTGTTCTTTGTATCGTTGCAGGGTAAGATTTATCTACAATAAACCACTAACGTCGAGCTTGGGTTATTAATTCACCCCCAAATACCCCTCGGTTTCAGTAACATTATCAACAGTAATATATTTACATATTTTGATGGCACTTATACTTGAAATACTTTAATTCTTACATTACTCCGGTAATTATTTACCAAATAAAAATATCAAGTGTTAAAGCAAGGATTTATATCCTATTCTTTGGTTTAAACACGTGATCAGATATGACCGCGGTTTGGTAGTCATTGCCTGAGTTAGCTATAAATGTGATTTGACCGAATACCCCAGTACTAAGGTTAAGCGGCCTCATTGACCGTTCTTGCTACCGGCCAGTGTCATGCGTATTAGCCGATAACGGCCGATAGGTCTGCGTTTGTTCCGAACGATAATACAGGCCTGACTAGCGGGCGGTCAGCGTTCAGAAAATGTCATGTTTTCAATAGTCTAGACTTCGTTAGTCATGTGTATTTTGTTGCAGTCAAGGACGTTCCTAATATCAAATGTGACCAGTTGCAATAAAAAATAATAATAAATATAATAGATATACGAAAATAAATAACAAGCATGCAGTTCGTCCAATAACAAATGGGACTACAGCTGTTTTCTGTTGGTTTTTTTTTGTCATGCAGTTGTTAAATTTAAAATAAATACCAAATCATCTTCATATATAATAACGGCTGTATTATTTTATATGCCAAAACACTCGCCGAGTTGAAGGTTTAGTGTCTATTATTTCCTGTATTGTGTTACAGACATCACGGACCATGTCTAAAAGTACACCTCTACACCGTGCCGTCTACCGGGGAGACATCGATCAAGTAAAGGAGCTGGTCAGGTCTGGGGCGGACCTCGGTGCAACTAGAAACGGATGGACACCTCTGATGGATGCCATGCTGTCAGGAGAAGAAGATGTTGCGGCATACCTTGCCAAGAAGATGAGTGTCCAGGACTTGAATGTGGTGGACAGCAACGGGTTCAATGTGTTGCATATGATGGTTATATGGCGTCGTCCGTGGGCACATGTTATACAGGACATAGTTGATACCTGTCCTAGTATGTTACACCAGGAGAAAAGTTCAGGGCGCCGACCGATAGATATTGCAAGACTTGGATTACCACTAAGTCAGGGTGTTTACGACATTCTCGGTAAGTACGCTTAGCCGCAGTTATGTTAATCCTCACTTATTCACATATTATTGATATACCATTATGTATGCACAAACACACTTATTAATAAAGAACACCTAGTGCAGTTTATATGTGAACACATTTCTTAAAGCATTCAGCTTTTTATGATGGTTGCAGTTATATTCAATGAATTTATTTTGTTTATCTAAAAAATATTCATAACAGAAATCCGCTCGTTGGGATCTGTCTATAAAATTGTCATAATTATAAGTTTTAATGCGATTTAATACCTAATATTTATTATTTTTTTGACAGTGAATTGAAATATCATTTTTAAAAATGAGGCATGCTTTAACCCTTAGATTGCCTGAGGGCCAGATCGGCCTGATCTGAATTTTACGTTGTTTGCCGTAGGGCCGATCTGGGCCGTTCGGCTTTTAACGACTTTTGACGTCACGTGTGACATGAACGATCTGGAAACTGTTTGTTCTATTAGGCGATTTATTTTCGACTTTGAAGCATTATTAAATAATAGATGCACTTATCGTACCAAAGGAAAGCTGATAACCTAACTTCAAGTTCATCTATAGATAAGATGACATGATTTTTCCGTTTTTAAAAATACGCGTCCATATAATATAAGGGAAATAACGAAATCAGGAAACTATAGTGCGTGTTTTGTTTCCTGTTTTTCACGCAGTATATTCTGATGGGATCTCTACTTTCTGTATCGTTGTCAAGTGATCGAGTAAGGGTATAGATGTGGTGGATTTATTTATTTGTCTTGGACTGTCTGTGAACATTCTGAACAATAGTTTCAGTATAAAAGAAACTATTCACGGACTTTTGTGCTGTAAGCGATGTATTTGAACTATCGATTTCTCGGAGATAGGACGTTGGATACGGCCAGTGGATATATGACACGGACAAGGCGCTCGCCACGACTCTTTGTTGTTAATGTGTGTCGACCCTTATTTACAAATTGTCTGGTATAAAAATGTGTTCAAACTAAATAAATGTCTGTATTGCATACCTTAGCAATCGCAAACAATTGCGGAAAGGCTTTAAGGGGATAACCCTACTGTATTTTGAAAGTTGCGGCGGTATATCGTGATTATACTGTCGTAAATTGAGTTTTACTGGCGACGCAGTAAAACGGTTGTTTGCAACAATATTATCACGATATTCGCAGGAAATTTGTAAATACAATAAAGTTATCCCCATTCTAATTCATATCAGCCATAACCACCAACAGAAACGACGGTTTTAAGATATTTTTTAGAGTTTTCTACAAATTCTGAGTCACTCTGCTCCGGCTTGGTGACGTCAGGAAAATTTGAGGAGAGGCAGTATAACGTTGACCTTTCGGGGTCACGCATTTGCTTGTGACGTCATGGATAATCAATTTCATGACGAGTCAGGGTCAGTCGGGGTCATTGACGTCATTAACCTTTGCTACCCGGACTTTTTTATGCAAATGAAAGGTTTGCGGACGGTATGTCGTACCGCATATTAAATAAATTAGATTTTACAATTGAGCCAGTTGTTCAGATCAATTGGTTAGATCAATAGTATCATTCATAAAAGTTGCATAAGGTATGCCTCTTTCAGTTTGCATAAATTATTGATCAAATAAATAGCCATACTGGAAAAAGCTTGCAGTGCATAGTACGCAACGTAACTAGGGGCGCGTTCGGATTCGAATATATATATAGTTGGTTGGTCGGTGTATGGATTTTTCGCCTACATGACTCCACCCAAACGGGTTTCGTCTCACTGACGGAGGTCGGTGTTCTGTCGGCGTGAGGAGTTGCCTTCCCTCGGGAGAAGGGTATGGAAGGGTTGGGGTGGGGGTCGCCTTTACTTTACCATATTTTGAGTGTTACTTTCCCCCGGATTGGTAACGTCAGGAATATTGGAGGTGAGGCAGAATTACGTTGACCTTTCGGGGTCACGCTATTGTTCGTGACGTCATGGATAATCAATTTCATGACGAGTCAGGGTCACTCGGGGTCATTGACGTCATTAACCTTTGCTACCCGGGCTTCCTATGCAAATGAGAAGTTTTGCGGACGGGATATAATGTCGCAACTTATTTTGATTGACCAATCAAATGTCGTGCTACATCTCACAGGAATTGGAATTTACAATTGAGCCAGTTGTTCAGATCAGTTGGTTAGATCAATAATATAAAGGATCTTTTTTTTACTTTTTCCCCTTTTTATTTCATCACTTTTTTCAACAAAGTTGTATAAGGTATGTCTCTTTCACTTTGTACAAATAATTAATCAAATAAATAGTCATAAATAGCCTACATGACTGCACCCATACGGGTTTCGTCTCACTGACGGAGGTCGGTGTTATGTCGTTGTGAGAAGAGTTGCCTTCCCTCTGGAGAAGGGGGTGGAAGGGTTGGGGTAGGGGGTCGCCTTTACTTTATCATATCCTTAAGATTTTTAATAAGTAATTTGGAAGACGACTCCTTGCTCCGAATAGTTGGTAAATTAATTGTTATGTATCGCTAGCTGCATTACATCAAGATGTCTAGGACGGCACGGAAATAGGAAGAGGGCATGTCTACCATAAATATCCAGACAGTCCAGTGGCCCTAGCCTTTCTCTATTGTTTTGGTTTTGTTCTATATTTATTTATAAACACATACACTGGAGATAATTCCTCAAACACATAAACGATTACACATATTTACATATCGACACACATACATCTTAGTTGATGAAGAGACGTTTATGGGGGTTGGGGGGGGGGGGGTGCTAAGGAAATTCGCCATCTTGACCTTATCAACCTTAGGTGTGTGTATTGCATGTAATGTCATCAATTTGGCATATCCTTATGAATTTTAATACGTAATTTGGGTACGGAAGTAGGATAAGGGCGTGTCTACCATATCCTGATTGTCCAGTGGTCCTAGCCCTTCTCTATTGTGTTTTGGTTTTGTTCTATATATTGAAGTCCGTCTAATCCTCTTAATACATTAATATAATCTAAACAAAAATATTCTCTGTGCCGGCGTCATCACGCCTATTCTTACGACAATACACTGTCGGCGGGTTGGACTTTCCTACACGGGACACCGCTTATAGTCCCTTCCGACGGTCTGAATGTTAGTGTTTAGTGTCATGCTCGTGCTAAAAATCTTGTTTTTATTGTCCATTCATAAAACCGAATATAGTTCTTTTAACGCTTTTCGAAACTTTTCGTCATTACAAATGTCCTCGTTCATGTAAAACCTTTAATTGGCTTTCTTCTGTTGCTGTCCTCTGTGTCGACATTTTGTGAGCATTAGTATGAATGTTATTTTAAGGCGGGGTGGGGTTGTTGGATACCATACGGTATTAAAGTAGTGCAGGTTGTTATTTTGTCGGAAAAAATGTAGGGGAAATATTTGTTGATATGGGGGAGGGATTACGAAAGGGTGTATGGTACTTTGGTGGTGTGTGCCGAGATAGGTAGGGATTGGGATGAGTGATAATAGGAGACCGAGGAGGGATAGGCAATAGTCAGCGTTGGAAAGGGGTTGTCCTTTAGGAATATTCGGATGTGTAAGACTGCAACCAGAAATGAGAAATATACGCCGTGAAATCTTGTGTTGATTGTACTCAAAATTAGGATTGAAAATATCGCAATTAGGCAGGTTCGAGTGAATTTCGATCCTTCCGGTAGCCGAATTGTGGAGAAATTTCCAATATATGTCATGTGATAAGACATGTGCGTTATGGTTATCGTGGTGCTCATTGGTCACAATTGCTTAAAGTAGGGGGTATTTGTATGTGAACGGGGTTCGATGGGGTTTCGATCCTTCCTGTAACCAAATACCATACATGCAAAATTAATGTAATCATTGAATATACTAAGATAGATATGGAGGAGTGGATTGTAGTGTTTTTATCCCTGGCTGGGAATGGGGGTTTTGATGTGTACTTTATAGTAGCTGGCGTGTGTTTGAGTATAGAAGTAAACAAAACTAAATTAAAAACTAAACTTAATAAAAGCAGCGCGTACCCCCCCCCCCCCCCCCCCCCCCCCCCCCCCCCCCCAGTTCCCAATTGACGATATAATGTGTACCTATTGCTATCATTGTCTACTGTAGTTTAAACTTATTTATTTTTAAAAACTTCTTATACTTATAACAATACACAATAAGGCAGAGATACAATAATGCAAAATAACTTGAAATTGTTGGCTAACAATTTGACGGATTTTTCACTGTAATGACTGATTTGACGTTTGGTTAGTTGAGCTGGCATCATCACTCTCTGCGCTGTTAGCCCTTCTCATGTCACCCTCGGGGTCCCTTGTATAATTAGTTCTGCATCGTATGAGGTTATGCTCAAACACATTTCCGATAGGTGAAGACTGTGACTTTTTAAGTAGATATTCATGCAATACATTGTCCCCTCGCAGACTACTGACACGAATGAGAGTATAAAGTCCTTTCTTGTGAACCTTTTGTTTGTCATCCCCCAAAGCATAACGGCAAATCACACAACATCCCTCATGCAGACCACCAGGCACATGAGGGAAATCGCAATCTTGGACGTGCTGACCAACCATTATTATATATCAAGTCCTGAAAAGACAGAAATCAAGGCATTAGTATATGACAAAGACGAAAGAGTTATATTAGACACACTTCTTTTTTTTAGCAAAACTGTTGCAATCATGTGTACATATATGATAATAGTACATAGTCCTGACACAGCAAAATATACTTTTACAAAAATGGGCTTATCGTGACGTTTTATAATATTGTTACAAATATTGTCAACAAAAGTAGTACATATAATCATAAATCATGTATAACAAAAAATAAATCCAAAAAAATGGACAATTCTTACTGCAAAACCGCTACTTCTAATTGAAATTCCACTTTTTTTCCATAAATCCATATTGTAAACAGATTATGGTTATACTGCAAACTATCTGCAATGTCACATAATAGTTACAACAGATTTATATGTTCTTTTAATACACAATATACATCTCCAGTTAAATTACAT